ATGATTACTTTTCTGTAACAGCAATTGCTGTAATTGCCACAGAAATGGAAAGGGAAGGAGGTCCATGAGACCCTCCCATATTAAGACATGGAAATCTCATCTAGTAAGACATTTGAAGAAGTCTGAGACTCCAACCCCCAAGGCGTTATATCTTAATGGACTGCTACAAATCTACAGTCAGCCGTCCCATTCATTGCTAGCTCTTTTGCACATTACAAACATAGGTCCTGATTCACAGATGCCATGCTCCTGGAACCCCAACACTGCACACATTGCTAACATCAAAATCAAATAATTGAGCATCGCAGCAGCTGGGCCACTGTAAGCTCTCTAGTGTAGCCACTCTAAGCCAACAGGAGAGAGCTCTCCCGTCAGCTTAATTACTCCAGCCCCCGCGAGTGGCGGTAGCTCTCCCACCGACATAGCACAGTCCACCCAGCACTTAAGTCGCCATAAATTATGTCGCTTAGGGGTGTGGCTAATTCATACCCCTGAGTGACATAACTTATGTCAACTTAAGCTGTAGCATAGCCATAGCCTTTAGTCACAGGACATTATATATTTGGATGAGTTCCTTCCCCGCCATCCATGTAGTGGCTATTTGATATTTGAATTTTTATATATTGTCATTTTAAAAAAGAGGGGAAAGTCTGATCCCTACTTTTTACGCTACATTTAAATTTAACCTTATAGCTGCAGAATCCATCTCACAAATGTCTTAATGCTGAAGTATAGCCGTAACCAAGGAAATATTAGGGTAACTGGCCAAGCCAGTTCTATTGCTAGCCTAATAGCTCCAAAGCACTTAATTATGGGTTTTTGATAACTCAACCTATTTTTCTTGACTGAGCTCTACAATAGCCATGATTGTATTTAAAATTTGGGAAGTTACTGTGTGACTCATTCAAAAAAAAAAAAGTTAGGGCCTGAAGTAGGAAAAAAGTGGCGTGTCCTTGGATGAATATTGTTTAATGAAAAAACATCTAAGTGTATGGATTGATTTAAATGAAAGCCCGAAACTACTTTTGGGAGGAATTTAGGGTATGGTTTGAGTATAAGGTTGTCTCTGTAGAAGACTGTACGGTGTTCCAGTCACAAAGGTTTGCAATTCATCCATTCTGTGTACCAAAGTGATTGTCACAAGGAAAGCAGTCTTCACAGACTGGAGAATTAACAAACATGAAGCAAATGGTTTAAATTGGTGTTTCCCAAACTTGGGACGCCGCTTGTTTAGGGAAGGCCCCTGGCGGGCCGGGCTGGTTTGTGTACCCGCCGCATCCGCAGGTCCGGCCGATCGCGCCTCCCACCGTGGTTCGCTGCTCCAGGCCAGTGGGAGCTGCTGGAAGCAGCGCGGGCTGAGGGACGTACTGGCCGCCACTTCCAGCAGCTCGCATTGGCCTGGAGCAGCGAACTGCGGCCAGTGGGAGCCGCGATCGGCCGGACCTGTGGACGCGGCAGGTAAACAAACCAGCCCAGCCCGCTAGGGGCTTTCCCTACACAAGCGGCGTCCCAAGTTTGGGAAACACTGGTTTAAATGGAGGACCCATCCAAGTAAGTATCACACTAAGGCCCCATGCTGGGTGAGGGGAGATTTACAATGCTAGAAGGAACGCCCTAATAAATCCTTTAAAAAAACTTAATCACTGAAGAGTGAGAGAACACGGTATACTCTTGAATACTAATAGCTGCACACCACGCTATTAACTATTTACAATAAAAGTTACTAAACGAATAAAGAGGAGCACAAGTGCAAGTGACAGCTAGCTGGCTCCACAGGAGGCAAGGAGGAACTGAGGGCTGGTTGATCGCTCAGCCCCCTTTAAACCTTCAGTTGAGGGGCCCCCTCAAGGGCATGAAGAGCACAGGTGGATACTGCTGGCTAAAGTGTTCTGATCTCCAGCACACTGGGTTCGTGCACACCAGAAGTGGGACACATAATGGACTTATCTACACTTACAAAGCTGCACTTAGTGAGGATGCTACCTACACTGACAAGAGCTTCTATCCTTAAGCTTCATCGTAGATACTCCGCCTCCCTAAGAGGCGGTAGCTATGTCAACAAGAGAAGCCCTCCCATCGACATAGCTGTCTACACCAGGAGTTAGGTCGATATAACTGCATTGCTCAGGGGTGTGCACAGAAAGTTGCAGTGCTGTAAAGTGGCAGTGTAGACAAGGCTTTAGAGAGACAAGGTTGGTGAGTATAAATGAACTCTCACAGGAAAACGATAAAAGATAAAAACACCACATCAGTGATGGGTAAACACTTTTCACAAAGCAATGACTCTGCATCTGACCTATAAGTCCTCATCCTCAAAGGAAATCTGCACAACACTTTCAAAAGACAAGCCTGGGAGCTTAAACTCATAACTTTGCTAGATACTAAAAATGATGGACTGAATAGAAATGGTGGATTTATGGTTTATTACAATCTGTAACCCACTTTCTCCCACCTCCACCTTTTCCTCCCTGTGACTGGACAGGTGTTAATGGGCCACTTACCACACATTTCACGGGATCATTCAAGGTGAACTACTTATACTAAACAATCTGTTTCACCTTGTATTTGAGAGACAAGGTGGGTAAGGTAATATCTTTTTATAGGACCAACTACTGTTGGTGAGAGAGACAAGCTTTCCGATCTTAGGGCATGGCTACACTTGCAGATGTAGAGCGCTGTGAGTTAAACCAGCCTTTGGAGACCGCAGCAGAGAAAACGCTGCCCTGTGTTTATACTGTCAGCTGCAAGCACACTGGCGTGGCCACGCTAGCAGCTCTTGCAATGCCACAAAGAGCAGTGCATTGTGGTAGCAGTGCAAGTGGCTGCAATGTGCTTTTCAAATGGGGGGGGAGGGGGCAGAGTGTGACAGGGAGTGTGTTTGTGTAGGTGTTTTGGGGGGCTAAGAGTGTGTCAGCATGCTGTCTTGTAAGTTCAGACAGCTGCAGATCCCCCTCCCCCGAGCCTCTCTCACACACACAAGCAAGCAGCATTCCACAGTAATGGTTGCTTTGTCCTGAAGCAGATAAGCATGCCGGCTATCAGAAACTGAGCTTTAAAAGGGCATATCCACATTCCTGTAGCTGATTTCAAAACAATGAGAAGAGTGGCCACTTGACTTCAGGGGATTATGGGACGTTTCCAGAGGCCAATCACAGTGCAGTAATGCAACACCTCGTTCACACTGACACCCGGGTCTTTCAGCCAGGGCACAGCAAGCTTTATGCTTTTCCTGGAGGTGGATTACCAGGAGCGCTCCAGCTGCAGAGTCCAGGCACTTTGTGCCTTGCCAGTGTGGACACATCGGGAGTTAGTGTACCCGGGGCTGCTTTAATGCGCTCTAACTTTCAAGTGTAGCCAAGCCCTTACACAGAGCTCTTCTTCAGGTCACCTTGTATTTAGCAGCAACACTCAGACTATGTCTACACAACAGCAGCTGCACTGCTGTAGCACTTCTGGTGAAGATGCTCTAAGGCTATGTCTACATTAGCCCTTTTGTCGGTATAACTTATGTCACTCAGGGGTGTGAAAAAACACCCCTCTGAGCGACATAAGTTACACCTACAGAAGCGCCGGTGTGGACAGCACTATGTTGACAGGAGATGCTCTCCTCCCTATATAGCTACCACCGCTCGACAGAAGGACTCTCCCATTGGCATAGAGCTGTGTCGCTGTAAGGACTCTCTGCATTGGTACAGCTGTGTCGCTGTAAGATTGCTAGTGTAGACATGGCCTAAGCTAATGGGAAAGAGCTCTCCCTTCGGCTTAATAACTCCTACCTCCACAAGAGGCACTAACTATGTCGGCAGGAGATGTTCTCTCACCGACATAGTGCCGTCCACATTGGCACTTAGGTCAGTATAACTTACGTCAGTCAGGGGTGTGGATTATTCAAACCCAAACCTGAGCAACATGTGTTATACCAAAGTAATTTGTAGTGTAGACATAACCTGAGTTAGTTTCCCAAACCTGAAGAAGAGCTCTGCGTAAGCTCGAAAGCTTTTTTCTCTCACCAACAGAAGCTGGTCTCACCCACCTTCTTTCATTATTTTTGCACTCACACATGCTAACAATGAAAACTGACTGGTCAGTTTGACTTTCTGGGTTGTCTGTAGAGGGGAATCAGAGGCCTTGGCTACACTTGAGAATTCACAGCGCTGCCACTGCAGCGCTGTGAAGCGCGAGTGTAGTCGTGCCGCCAGCGCTGCGAGAGCTCTCTCCTCAGAGAGCTATTCCCCTCGGAGAGGTGGAGTACTTGCAGCGCTGCGAGAGCTCTCGCAGCGCAGCGCTGCAAGTACTCCACCTCTCCGAGGGGAATAGCTTGCAGCACTGCGAGCGAGCGTGCAGCGCTGCAGGCACTGATTACACTGGCACTTTACAGAGCTGCACTCACTGCGCTGGGGGGGGGGGGGGGGCGTTTTCACACCCAGTACAGCGCCAGTGTAGCCAAGGCCTGAGTCCTTCGGACACTCCTAGCTCCAGCCTGTTCCCCGCCAGCCACACCAGCAGCGTTACCCCAGGAGGCGCCGCACAGAGGACAAGCCAGGGCGTGCAGCTGTCTCGGCAGCTTCCTGGGAGCACCCGGAACAGCCAGCAGAAGTTTTCCAGTGGGAGGAGACACATGAAAGCTGCCGTAGTCTCAGGGGACGCAGGAGCCCGCTTGACAAGGAGCCTGCTCGGCCTCCCACGGCGATGGCCCCTCCAAGCTGGGCGGGCTGAGCACCCGGCCCAGCGAAGGAGCGAGGCAGAGAGCGAGGCCTCTTCACCCACAGCGGGGCTGGGCGCATCACCGCCCCGTGGTGCGGCATGTACCTGACAAGTAGCACCGCACTCAGCCCCCCCAACCACACACACGCCAGGGGGTGCCAATGCCACCCCCGCCCCTCCCCCAACCGGGCGGGGGAGGGGGCTGCGCATCTCCCTTCCCCCAAGAGAGACAGCAGCCGGGGGGCCCTGCTGCGAGGGCAGCTGGGGCTGACACCTCCACCGGGGGCGCCACTCACCGAAGTCCAGGAACTGCTTGATGGAGAGCGGCGAGGGGGAGAAGCGCGAGTAGTGCTCGATCTGCTTGGGGATGGGGCTCTTCAGCAGCGCCCCGCACAGCCGCATGGCGCGCCGCTCCCCGGGCCCGCCTGCGCGGCTCGGCCGGGCTAGTGAGCGGGGGCCGGGGCGCAGCCGCCCCCCCTCATGCCGGGCAGCAGCGAGGCCGGCTCCGCCTGTCACCGGCAGCCAACGGCGGCCGGCTGCTGGGAGGGAGGGAGCCCGGCGACAGCACCTGACGCGCGCGCGCACCCCCCGCGCGCTGCCTGGGCACTGCGCAGCCGGCAACCGCCGGGCACCGCCCCCCCATCACCCGGGCGCATGCGCCAACTGCCCCGGCAGCGGGCCCGGGCTGGTGGGGATTCGGGGTTGGGGGGGTCAGGTTGACAGGAGAGCGGTGTAACCGCCACCCCGGCCTCAGACGGGGGAGAGACTGTCACACACAGACACAGCAACACCCTGCATGTCCTTCCTGGCACAGGGGAGAGACTGTCACCTGCCCCCTTCCTTGCCTCCCCCACAGAAGAGAAAACACTGTTACAGGCCCAGCAACCACTCTCACATCCACAGCAGGGGAACCACTGAATGAAAATACACCCAGCAAAACTCTCCTCTCTCCCTCCCTCCATCACACAGGAGAACAGCCTGTAGCACACCCTTCACGCCCACACAGGGAAATAGGTAACATGTTCACTGCCAAAAAAAAAAAAAAAAAAGTGTGTTTTTACATAGAGCTGTTTAATGGTGTAAAATCCCAGTGGAGACAAAGCATTGATAGTTTTACCGAATGTAGCCTGGTGGCAGTGTAGGTTGACCTCAACTAGCTACATCTAGGTTAAAAACTACTTGTGATTTATCTCCATTGATCTTGTTTCTAGAGTTAGGTATCTCAATGTAAAATGAACCTCTTGTGCAGTGAAAAAGCCAGAGACTGTAAGGTCTTGTGATCTGGGAGTAATGGTGTATTTTTAACCCATGTTAAGGTAACTCCTGTTAACATTCTATTGTAGATAAGGCAAGTTGTAGTTTCAACCCACATTAGCTGGTCAAGGAAAACCTTCAGATCCCCCCCGGACCAGTGTAGATAGGTTAAAACCATAACTGCTTCATTAGGATTTTAACATGGCTTAAATACCCTTTTTTCCTAGTGAAGTCACAGCCTAACTCACCCAGTAATACTGCCCATCTCCACATAGGTGGGGACACTAACAAATACAGTAATATCCACCTGAGAGAATATAATACATCAAAATCTTCTAATCTGAGGGACAAAGTGAGGAGCACACATGCAGTGCTCACATTTGTCCATAGTAAGGCAATCTCTCCACATGCATAAAAGGTTAGGATTATCAAGTGTAGAAAGGTGACAAATGTTACTGTCTTTATTAGCCATACATAGCAAAAAGACTTCTGAGTACTGGCAGTGACCTAGCCTAGAGTGACACTATTAACAGCAACTGCATAGGTAAGAGTGGGAGCTGATGAATTAGGTGTTAGACAGTTGGGGGTCATTTTATCTCAGTGGGTGGTAGTCATGAGTTGGGCAGGAAGGAGCACTGCTCTTTTGTGGGGGTGGGAAATTATTAATGTAGGTGGGTATATTAGTCTGGACAGGGCAATTAGGGGCTAAATTTAGTATCAAAGTAAGCATTAACTTCAGGGCAGGAAGTAAGGGAGCAAAAAGTTTGAGGCAATGTTATGGGGAGGAAAGGGAACAGCCAGATGTAGTGCAAAAAACAGAGCGAGAGAGAAAGAAAGGATTTGGGCCAGCTGATGCTATATAGAGAGAGGACGTTGAACGCACCAGCATACAGTACTCACTTATTAAATGAAATGTTGGAACCTGTACCTGGAATTTATGGTGCAATCTGGTCCTTCACAATAAAGCATAATTTATTGATATTCAGGGAGAGGACTGCTCCATAGCTAGTGTATCAGATGCAATCTGATACACTCTTTAGTGCCCTCATCTGTAAGGACTATTGTCAGTGTATGCTAACACAAATGAAGCATTATCTATGTTATTATGTCACAGTAGCACTTGGATGCTTCAACGGTGACCAGGGTCCCATCATGTTAGGTACTGTACAAACACATCATAAGAGAAAATTCCAGTTGCAAAAACCCTCCATCTAAATAGTTAAGACAGGCAGAGGATGGGAAGGGAAAGAAAGGCAAAATGATTTGCCCTTGGTCACAAAGCACATCAATGGCAGAGCTGAGATAGAACCCAGGTGTCCTGGGTAGTGTCACATCCACTGAACCAAGTTGCCTGTGTAGTAATGCCTTAGGCCATCCAAATATTTTTAAAAGTTTTTGTATTTTTTCTTTTTCTTTTTGAAAAGCCAAATCCCAAAGCTTCCATTGACTTCAACAAAGTCAAAATTTTACCCCTTAGTGTGCCTACTGTGACAGACCCAGACTAGTGGGGTACAGGAGTCTGGTAGAGGGCAAATATACTGGTCACTGGATGAGTAGTTTTCTGTTCCCTGAGTGACCAGAGCAGGGGCTGCACTAGAATAATCAGGAACCTGCTAGAACCAGTTAAGGCAGGCAGGCTAATTAGGACACCTGGAGCCAATTAAGAAGAAGCTGCTAGAATCAATTAAGGCAGGCTAGTCAGGGCACCTGGGTTTTAAAAAGGAGCTCACCCCAGTTGGTGGTGGGAGTGTGAGGAGCTGGGAGCAAGAGGTGCAAGGAGCTGAGAGTGAATGCTGCTGGAGGACCGAGGAGCACAAGTGTTATCAGACACCAGGAGGAAGGTCCTGTGGTGAGAATAAGGAAGGTGTTTGGAGGAGGTCATGGGGAAGTAGCCCAGGGAGTTGTAGCTGTCATGCAGCTGTTACAGGAGGCACTATAGACAGCTGCAGTCCACAGGGCCCTGGGCTGGAACCTGGAGTAGAGGGTGGGCCTGGGTTCCTCCCAATTGACCTGGACTGTGGGTTCTTCCAGAGGGGAAGGTCTCTGGGCTGTTCCCCCAACCCACATGGTGAATCTCCGAGGCAAGAAAATCTGCCAATAAGTGCAGGACCCACCAAGATAGAGGAGGAACTTTGTCACCCTACAATAATTTTCTAAGAAATTTTTGTTTCAAAGGTAACTTTCTTCTTTAACCATTTCACCGCTTTGCATTTTGTGTTATTTCTGTCTAGACTTCAGAAGTGCTCATTCTTTTTCTAGCCTTTGCCACTGGCTGGTTATTTCTTTAATATATGATAATAAAATAATTTGTCTCTTCTCTTGGAGGCATTATTTGAATTTTCATGTCTGAGAGCAATATTGAGAGAGACTTAAATTGTGGGTCTGACAGGAGAACAAAAAGGCAAGGAAAACTGGCGGGTGTCACTAAGCATCCTAAATGGCAATCCATATAGTTAGTGATGGGGAGATGTAAGATAAGGACAGGCTTCTACTCAGACCAGGTATGTCTTGTGCACTGAACTTGGACTCCAATCCTGTAAACACATGTGATTAACTGTATGCATGTTTGCAGAATCAAGGCGATATTGCACACCTGGGTATACCAAATAACTAGTCTTGCAGAGAATGGGGACTTGATACTGCTCCAGATGAGGTAATTACAATTTTGCCACTACTCAAAAACAGATTCATTGTATGTTAGTGGGTATTCAAATTTCTAAAATGTTACCTTCTCTGTCTACCTCACAGGGAAAATACAAGTCCATGTGTAGTCCAAGAACATGTTTGCTTTTTGTTTCATTTTAAGAACTTCAAAGGCAAATCTTTATCCAATTCAGGAAAGCACTTAAGTATATACTTAAATCCTATTGACGTCAATCAGCCTTAAACATAAATGCATGTGTTTTTCTGAGCTGGGAGGCCTTCCTGAATCAGGGGTCCAGAATTCTGCAGTGGTTGTGGTTTAAGTCAGAATTCTGCAACCATTTTCTGAAGATTCAGCAATACTAAACTAGCAGTTTTGAACCTCACTCTGGAAGTCATAAAAAGTATTATTTTTCCAACTCCAAGTGATTAAATGTGTTCTTTAGGCTGACTGTGTCTCATTAACATAAATATCACAGATTTTTCTGAAGAATTCATGCAGAAAGATAGAACTCTGACCCCTCAAGGAAAACCAAGAAATTAGAACAGACAGTGCCATAAGCTTTTTTCCTTTATTTTATAATATGACCCTCAGTTGTCTTACCCTTGGAGAAAATCACACCTGCATTTAGTATTTTATAACATGTTATTTATATATTTAGAACAGAAAGAAAAGTTAACTTTGTGTGTTGAGAGGTCAAGGGGTTGATATAATTTTCTTCCAGTGTTTCTTAATACTTTATTATTTACACCAATACATAGTTTATATCTTCAAAGCATTATTCATTAATGCTCATAATAAGGGACATAGTATTACCCCATTTTATTCACTGGAAACAGAGCCTCATTCTCTCCAGTCTTTCATCGTATGTAGTCATAGTAGTTATAAAATGGTACTGTTCTAATTTGGTAGTTTTTACATCCCCTTTGCATATGTGTAAATGGCTATCTATGGTCTGAGATAATGAACTATCCACCCCACAGCAGAATTCACTCAGAGAATTTGTGAGTTGCCGTGGGCCAACAATGATTCAGTGTCAGATGTGATTAGAACTAAGGCAGTTTGATGCGGTTACATGCTCTGTCCTCCAAACCATGCTGCCTCCTTCAGGAAGGATTACAACAATGCAAATGTCAACCTGTGTGTGTGTGTGTGTTTTTTTTTTTTTAATCAAATATTCATCACTATTTATTCTATAAATTCTTGCTGTATCTTTCTTGGCTCTACTAGATTTTACAGTCCACAAATATTTTTGTCCAGGAATTCATGAGTAGAACTAATTTCCAAGATTAAAAATCCTTAACTAAGGGACCATGTCTTCCTCTATGCTTAGGCTGGGCCACCCATGCTGATAGGTGCCCTATAAATAATTACACAGCTTCCAAGTACTTTGGAATGTTTGAATAGCCTTGTTTATGACCTCTGGTCTATTACCCTTTTCATCTGTTCCTCATCCCCAGCCACATGGTCTGATTTCTTCCTCCCACCCTGCTCCATAATTTGCTTTTAGCTAGGGCACCTCCAGAATATAGTGGCTGGACTCAATGGTCATTTAAACTAGTCATAGACATAAGATATCCCATTCTCTGCAGCAAGTAAAGTGATATGTAGACACCGTGTGTTCAAAAT